ATCTTTGTGCAGACTTATTCATGAGGATCTGAGAATACAAATGGCTTAGTTGGCTAAATAAATTCTTTCTGATTTTTAACAGGTCAGACTGCAGTGCAAATTCAAGGCAGGCTGCAAAAGAAATGATTCAGGGATCTTGTTAGAAGATAAGTTTCTTGTGGCTCTATTTTATAGTAACGATCTGTTATTAATCGTTGATATTGCTTATTATAATTCGATTCTGTTGTAACTTATCTCATGTGAATTTATCAAAACCATGTTCCTAAAAGCGTTTTAGAGAAAGGTCCTGTCGGTGGGGTGTTTATGAGTAATGTTTGCAAGAAAAGAATGGTCCATTAAATGCACTTTTGGAGAATGGCTACAGCCTGGAGTTAGCTAGGTTTCTGTTATTGCAAGACTTTTCAGACCCCTGTGATCATATACACACCACGACACTTTGTGAAACTTCAGAGAGTGACATTTCACAAGTTTACTTGACACAAAAATGTTCAACAGAGTATCTCAAGGACTAATCTTTTGAGACTTAAAAATATAGTATGATATTATTTAGAGGCTAGATCTCCAACTGTTGCTACAACTTGGAGTGCAGTGGGGGTGATCACATAGCTCATGTAATCTCGCATTCTTAGGCTCACCCCCTCCAGGCCTTTGAGTAGCTAGGATTTACAGGCACATGCCACCTAGTACCTGGCCTAATCTTTTTATATTTATTTTTGTGAGGCAGTCTTGTCCAGACTGGTCGTTGAATTCCTGGCCTGAAACCATCCTCTGGCTTTCAGCCTCCAAAGTGCTGGATTACAGGCATGAGCCACCTTGCCCTGCCACTCTGGAATACCTTTCCGAACATCCGAATATGGGAGAGGTGAGCATGGGAGTTTAAAAAATGGTCTATACTTGAGCTTTATTAGTCGAGTAGGCCGTGTGGGATTGGTAGTCCCGCCTTCTGTGGAATGCTGGAAGGAAGGAGACATTGGCTACCGTATATGTACAAGATACTTGACTCAGCCTCAAAAACTGTGAGGTGTTTGCATATTATACATATGCAAGGTATTCCCAAATCTGAAAATGTCCAACAGCTGAAACACTTCTAGTCCCAAGCATTTCACATAAGAGATACTCAACCTCCTGGCAAAGTGAGACTGTCTCAAAAAAAAAAAAAAAAAAAAAAAGAGATACTCAATCGTGGTATAGCGCAAGATAACAGTCCCAGATGATGTAAAGATTCGTAAGTGAAGTCTTTCGCAGTTTGGGAAGTGGTGTTCTCTGTTCATCGTATTCCTTAGGGTATTCCTTCAGCCCTGAGGCGCTGGGCCACATCAAACTGGGTTTTACTTACCAGCTGTTCTATCTTCTTTGCTCTGAGCCAAGAACGTTGATTTTCGTAGGACGAAGGCAAGGGCTCCTGCTCACATCTAGTGAATGTTGTAATTGGCTAGTTGCCCATATGAGAAATTTTTTTTTTTTGAGACAGAGTCTCGCTTGTTGCCCAGGCTAGAGCTGAGTGCGATGGGCGTCAGCCTAACGCTCATAGCAACCTCAAACTCCCTGGGCTCAGCAATCCTCCTGCTCAGCCTCCCGAGTAGCTTGGAATACAAGCACGTCCACCATGCAGGCTCGTTTTTCTATTCTTTAGTAGGTAGAGATGGGGTCGTTGCTCAGGCCTGGTCTGAACTCCCTGACCTCGAGAGCGATCCACCTGCCTCAGCTCCTCGAGTGGAGGCTGACTACAGGCAGTGCGCCACACGCACCGAGCTAATTTTTCTAGTATATATTAGTTGGCAATTAATTTCTTTTTATTTATAGTAGGCGGCACGGTCTCGTCTTGCTCAGGCTGGTTGCGAAATTCTGACACGTGAGCGATCCTCCCGCCTTGGCCTCCCAGAGAGCTAGGATGACAGGCGTGAGCCCACCGCGCCCTGGCCCATCTGAGAGAAATGTAACCTGAGAAGTGTTCTATGTGATGCGATCACCCACAACTTCTTGAGAGGAGAGCAGCAGTAAGGCCACAGGCTTTGCTCAGATGTTCCCCCCTGCATCCGGGCCACAGCCACCGCCCCTCCCTTCCCCTTGAAAGGACACACCGCCTCTGGCACTTGGTGTGTTTTTTTTTCCCCCAGCTACCTGACCGTCCTGCACAGTGGTGAATCTCCCAGCATTTTTGTTGGTCGGCCTAGACATTGGAGGCCCGGCCCCTGGTTAAGTATAATTTATAAATTTGTAACACATTTGCTGTCTTTAAGTTTCCAAAGTAAAGCTTAAAGTTTGAGATTAGATAGAGGATGAATGTGTTATTTTTCTTTGTCCCTTACCAGATGGAACATCATCCTCGAGAGACACCTACTCTGACTAATAAAGCTCAAAGTAGAACATTTTTTCAACTCCCATGCTCAACCTCTCCATATTCGGAGGTTCGAAAGGTATTCAAGTGGCCAGGCAAGGTGGCTCATGCCTGTAATCCCAGCACTTTGGGAGGCTGAAGCCAGAGGATGGTTTCAGGCCAGGAATTCAAGACCAGTCTGGACAAGACTGCCTCAACAAAAAATAAAAATAAAAAGATTAGCCAGGTATGGTGGCATGTGCCTGTAATCCTAGCTACTCAAGAGGCTGAGGTGAGCCTAAGAATGAGAGATTACAGTGAGCTATGATCACCCCACTGCACTCCAGTCTGAGCAACAGTGGGAGATCTAGCCTCTAAAATATATATATTTTTAAGTGCTCAAAAGATTAGTCCTTGAGATACTCTGTTGAAACATTTTTGTTCAAGTAAACTTGTGAAATGTCACTCCTCTTGAAGGTTCACAAAGTGTGTGTGTGTATATGATACACAGGCTCTGAGAAGTCTTGCAATAAGAAACTAGCTGACACTCCCAGGCTAGCATTTCCCAAAAGTGCATTTAATGGAATTCTTTTCTTGCAAAATTACCATAAACACCCACACAGACCTTTCTTCTAAACGTTTTAGGAACATTGGTTTTGATAAATTCACATGCGATAAGTTACAACAGATCGAATTATAATAAGCCATATCAACGATTAATAACAGATGTTACTATAAAATAGAGCACAAGAAACTATCCTCTAAACAAGATCCCTGAATCATTCTTTTGCAGCCTGCCTTGAATTTGCATGCAGTCTGCTGTTAAAAATCAGAAAAATTTATTTAGGCAACTAAGCCATTTGTATTCTCAGATCTCAGAATAAGTCTGCCACAAAGATTCCGACAAGTGGCACTCATAATGTCACCTAGCAAAACACACTGGGGAAAACAGGTGGGGGGAGGGACATTTTGTTTTGTTACAAAATTGATTTGCATGAAGCATCTTATTCTTCATATCTAATGTCACATATCTACATGTGGTACATGCTACAACGGTACATATCTAATGTCACATTACTATCCCTCCAGTCATTAGGCATGGTTTCCTGATGACAGCAGAAAGCAAGGGAAAGCCGGAACGGAGCTAGGGAGCTAGAAAACATAAACCACAAAAATGAGGAATCCTTTTAACTCTGAAAACCTAGAAAGCAGTTATTCTGTCACGGTAAACAAGAAAAAAAAAGAAAAAGTCAACTCAATCATTGGCATTTGAGCAATCCTGATTTTTGTCGCAGAGGTCTCTCGTGTGTTTAAAAACGTGGGGAAAATGCCAAACTAGATTTCTTCTGAACCTTTGCTAGGATGTCAAAGTACTGGGATTGTTCTAAAAAAAAAAAAAAGTGTTACGATGTGGTTGTTTGATGATTTGGAGAGTCGTCCTCGAACTGTATGTGGATTTTATATTATATCCTACATCAAAAAACCTCATTCTTCACAGATAATTTTTTAAAATAAAACTAAAATAGAATTTAGGCCGGGCGCGGTGGCTCACGCCTGTCATCCTAGCACTCTGGGAGGCCGAGGCGGGCGGATTGCTCCAGGTCAGGAGTTCGAGACAGCCTGAGCCCAAGAGCAAGACCCGTCTCTACTGATAAATTAGAAAAGAAATTGAATTTGGCCAACTGAATATATATAGAAAAAGATTAAGCCGGGCATCGGTGCGCGCATAGCCTGTAGTCCCAGACTACTCGGAGGCTGAAGGCAGGAGGATGGCGTTGAGCCCCGGAGTTTGAGGTTGCTGTGAGCTATGTGGACGCGCCACGGCACTCACTCCTAGCCCGGCAACAAGCTGAGACTCTGTCTCCAGAAAAAAAGGAAAATAGAATTTTTTTACAAAGTGGAGGCTTGCTCCTTTCTATGGGGAAGATGGGATTTTCCCACTCTGTAATCTTCTCCCTGGAGTAGCACTGTTATGCAAGCAGCTGTAGTGAGTATGAACTTGCACCTGAAATGAACACTGCCTTAAAACCTCCTGGGAGCCGCCAGGAAGAGGCAGGACGACTGAGGGAATCCTTCCCAGACCGTCACTGCTCACCACCTGACCAGTCACTTATTTCAGCACGACGGAGTAGAGATATGCACACGAGTCATATATATAAGAAAGGCGCGGCTCCGAAGGCAAAGCTGTAAGCTCGGCAGAGGTGGCAGGTGCAAGAACGGGTTGCCCGAACGTGACGTGCATAGAAGGAAGTTCTGGATAAGGAGCGCTAAGCTTCGTCTGGTCTCCCTAGGAAAAACGAATGGAATCTAGTTAAGTGGCCTGTAGCTAGCTACCTTAACACCTGTACCCCCATAACACGCTGAAACAAAACAGGAAAAAACCTTAAAAAATAAAATTTAAAAAAAGTGTCCTATAGCTAAAAAATATAATAAAATAAAATACAATATAATAAAATAAAATAAAAATGAGCTTTGTGGACCACGCAGCTCAGCCAGGTACGACGACGACGACGACGACGACACAACGCGCAGTGCGGGCCACCTGCGACAGCAGGGGCGGGAAGGGGCGAACCCCAAGGTGGCAGGGCTTCCAGAAAAGTCGTTCTTTATGACACTCCAGGGTTTGCATTTGGGGACTACTAAAAAGCCTCGGGGGGGGGGACCCTATTTCGATCCCCGCCGCCCCGCCAGGCCCGCCCACACGGAGAGAGGGCGCTCACCTGCCCAGGTGGCACACCTGCGGGGCACACCTGGCCAGGTGTCGGGGCGCGCACGTCCCCACGTCCCCGCGTCCCCGCCCCGGCCCCGGCCGCCCCCCAGCCCGCACCTGGCCGGCAGCAGGCCCCGGGGGAGGAAGAGGACGGCGCGCCCGAGAAGAGCGCCCCGTCCTCCTCTTCCTCCCCGTCCCCGTCCCCCCGGAGCCCGCGCCCCCGGCGGTTTCCCGGCACGAGCGACCGCCTCCCCCGCTCCCGTCCGCCCCCTCACCTGCACGAACGCAATCGGGGTTGTGGTACCTTCGACGTCCAACAGGATGGCGGCGACTTCCGCGGGCACCGAGAGCACCACCATCGCCCCGCCGGGGGCGCGGAGGGCGGCGCCGCCAACCGAGCGCGCTCCGGGGACCCCCCGCTCCCACCCACCCACTCAGCCCCGCGGCGTCTCGGAGCCCGGAACCGCGCGCCGCCCGGGTGGAGCAGCCACCTGCGCGCCGACACCTGGCTACTGAGGTAAGCGGCCGAGGCGCAGCCGCGAACTCGCGGGCGCTTCGGGAGGGCCGGGGGACCACGTGGGCAGCGCGAGGAGGGGCGGGGAGGGCGCGCCGCTGACGTAAGCCCCGGCTGCGGGGGGCGGGGCGCCAGGCGGCGGCGCCGATTGGCCGGCACGCGCCGCGGGCGCCGTCCGTCAAAGATGGCGGCCCGGCGTGGGCGGGGACGAAGCGCGAGCGCGGGAGCCGAGCGCGCTCGGGGGCGCGCGGCCTGCGCAGCCCGGCGGAGCGAGCGGGAGAGGCCCGGGGGGCGGCGCGCCGCGGCACGCGAGTGGCCCTCCGCCCGCCGCTTCCGCTTTTGCATATTGACAGTGGCCAGTCCGCACGGCCGGCGCCTCACGGGCAGGCCCCGCCGCCGCCGCCGCCGCGCCCCCTCGGCTCGCGCGCCCGCTTCCTGCCCGGCTGGTTCCAGCCAGCGCGGGGACGAAACACGCGTGCGCGGACTGGCGGGCGCGCGCCTCAGCCACACCGCGCCGGCCGCGCCGTCCGCCTCGCTCCGGAGCGGCCCGCCGGTCGCAGCGGCCGCCGCCGGCGCCGCGGCCCCGCGGGCGGGACACGGCGGGCCGGACCGGACGCCGGAGACAAAGGCTCCGCAGGCAAGAGGGGCTGCTGCGGGCCTGCGTCGGCGCCGCGCGGGGTTTCCGGCCGCGGGACCTAACGCCCCGTCCGGCTCTCGCCTCGCCGCGAGCCCGTGCGCGCGCTCTCCCGCGCGGCCTCGCCGGCAGGGCCGCCATGGAGGTCCCGCCCCGGCTCTCCCATGTGCCGCCGCCGCCGCCGCCATTGTTCCCCGCCGCCGCCGCCGCTCCCGCGCCGCTCGCCTCCCGCAGCCTCTCCCATTGGCGGCCGCGGGCGCCGCGGCAGCTCGCCCCGCTGCTGCCGTCGCTCGCCGCCAGTTCCGGCCGGCAGGGGGCGCGCCGGGGCCCGCGCCACGTCACCGCGCAGCCGCCGTCGCGATTGGCGGGCGCGGCGGCTATAAAGGGAGGGCGCAGGCGGCGGCCGGATCTCTTCCGCCGCCATCTTAAGCCCGGCTCCATACAACGCTCCGCCGCCGCCGCCGCCGCCGCGACCCGCTCCGCGCGCCCGCACCCCGCTCCCGCCGACAGCGCCGCCGCCGCCGCCATGGAGGACATGAACGAGTACAGCAACATCGAGGAGTTCGCAGAGGGCTCCAAGATCAACGCGAGCAAGAACCAGCAGGATGACGGGTACCGCACGCCTGTCCTCCCCCCCACCCCCGCCGCCGCCGCTCCCCGCCCCCACCCGCGCGCGTCCCTCGGGGGGCCGGGGCCGCCTGTCCGCGCGCTGCCCCTTCCCGGCCCCGCAGCCGGCCTCCTCTTCCGCCGGCTGAGGGGCCGGGGAGCCGGGGAGCGAGGGCCCCGCGGAGGGTGGGGGAAGGGCGGCGGCGTCTGGGGCGCCAGTGCGCAGGCGCGGCGCGGGCCCGGGGCGGGGGAGGGGCCGGCCTGGCTCGCCCGCTGCACTCGCTGCTGCAGCCGCCGCCCCGCCGCCTCTGCATTGTGTGCGTCCCCGGGCCTGCTCCCCGCGCCGTCTCCCCGGCGTGCGGGGCACTGTGCACGCACGCTCGAGGCTTGCACACCTTCCCCCCGTGCAAGGCGGCTGGGGGGGGTCCCGCACCCCCCCCGCATCGGATTCCCGGGGACGCGGTGCGGGGGGTGGGTTCTTTAGGGGACAGCTTTGCGCGGGAGCTCGGCGGGCGGGGAGCGGGAGGGGGCCTCTACTTTGGTTGGGGAAGTTTGTGGGGCCTGCCTCTCCCTCCTTGCCCTGACCCCGGACCCCTTTGCAAAACTTAAAAAGGGTCGGTCGGGGAGGGGAGGGGGCCTCTACTTTGGTTGGGGAAGTTTGTGGGGCCTGCCTCTCCCTCCCTACCCCTCCCCCGCCGACCCCGGACCCCTTTGCAAAACCTTAAAAAGCGTCGGTCGGGGTCCGTGTCGTGCAGCGTGGAAAAGCGGTCTGCCCCGCTGGGCCGGCTCGCGGTGACTGAAGTCAGCCAGGCCGGGGTTTTGGGGTTTCCGTGACCCGATTGCGCGCGGCTTGTAAACAAACACAGGCTGGGCTGCTGCTCGGGGGGCGCGCGTCGCTCTCTCTCGCGGGCATCGTTTCCGGGGGCGCCGGGGTGTGTGCGTGCTTTAAGTTAACTGCCAAGGTTATTTAATAAAAAAAAACATATAATAATAATAAAATGTGGGTTCTGTTTCTGTCTAGTAAAATGTTTATTGGAGGCTTGAGCTGGGATACGAGCAAGAAAGATCTGACCGAGTATCTGTCTCGGTTCGGGGAAGTCGTGGACTGCACGATTAAGACAGATCCAGTCACGGGCAGATCTAGAGGATTCGGATTTGTGCTGTTCAAAGACGCTGCTAGTGTTGATAAGGTAGGAGCGGGTCTTCGCGGCGGAGCTGCTCTCGCGGGGGTTTTTGTTTTGTTTTTTTTTTCTTGGCGAATCGTTCTGGGGTTTGGTTGCGTGCCGCTGTCGGATTAAATAAATCTGTCTTCCAGGTTTTGGAACTGAAAGAACACAAACTCGATGGCAAATTGATAGATCCCAAAAGGGCCAAAGCTTTAAAAGGGAAAGAGCCCCCTAAAAAGGTTTTTGTGGGTGGATTGAGCCCAGATACTTCTGAAGAACAAATTAAAGAATATTTTGGAGCCTTTGGAGAGGTGTGTGGTTATATTTACGCTTTTTTTTTTTTTTAAGTTCATCCCTCGTCTGTTTTTTATAGAATGAATTCATGCTTCGTGTGAGGAAGGGATTACTGCTTAAGCTCATTGCATTGACCGTACCTTTAATTGATGCTTTCTGTGCTACAATGGAAATCAATTGCCTAATTTATTTTGGCCACAACGTGGGTACATTAGTGTGGTCAGTGTTATTAAATAAAGAACGTTTTGCTTTCGTTTCAGTGCTTCACGTGTACAGCAAATCGCTCTAGGTCGAAGTTGATCACAAAGCATTAGTGTTTAGACAGAAGGCGTCTGGTTAGAGTAACATGTTAAGTTGAAGTTTGAAAAAGACCTGTGTCGTTCTAAAACCCTTGGATCGTTTAATTTGCCAGATTTTGAGTGTGTGTCTTGATTTCAGATTGAAAACATTGAACTTCCCATGGATACAAAAACAAATGAAAGAAGAGGATTTTGCTTTATCACATACACAGATGAAGAGCCAGTGAAGAAATTGTTAGAAAGCAGATACCATCAAATTGGTTCTGGGAAGGTAAAGCCATTTAATCATATTAAGTGAAAACTTTGAGAGTTAGCAAAATAATTTTTAGTCTGTTTTTTAAAAAAAATTAAAATGGCTTAATTTTAGACTTCAGTAAAAAATGTGTTTTTTTTTAAATGTGTTTATAGTGTGAAATCAAAGTTGCACAACCCAAAGAAGTATATAGGCAGCAACAGCAGCAACAGAAAGGGGGAAGAGGCGCTGCAGCCAGTGGACGAGGTGGGACTAGGGGTAGAGGCCGAGGTAAGATTTCATTCCTGGGAAGTGACTCCAGGGTCTATGCCGTATGCTGCTGTATGTGAACAAGCTCCTGGGAGAAAGCAAAGCTAAATTTAAACTTCAAAGCATTCCAACATGGAAAAGTGGGAAGCGAGGAGGGGGAGTTTCTTCGAGTTTACTAGTTTTGAAAATCTGTTCAGAGTGTGGCCACTTTGGTGATTGATGTCATCCCTGATAAAATTATACCATTACATAATACACCATGGTGTGATGGGTTTTCTCAGGCTGGAGTCGTTTTAAGCAGGACAGCCTACCTCACTTCAGCTTTAATGGAAGCTGAATGGCTTTTGCATTATAATTTAGGAAGCTTGATACTGGCACAATTGGCCTTTCTGCCCCCTTTTTTGTTATAATGACTGGAAAAACACTTCTCAAGCAGGTAGCAATATATATGTCCATCATCTTTCAGGATTTGCAGGTTGAGGGTTAGGAATGTGTCATCTTAGGATAGGGGGTCAGAAGTTGTTGCCTAACAATCATTGTGCATTGTTTCAGGTCAGGGCCAAAACTGGAACCAAGGATTTAATAACTATTATGATCAAGGATATGGAAATTACAATAGTGCCTATGGTGGTGATCAAAACTATAGTGGCTATGGCGGATATGATTATACTGGGTATAACTATGGGAACTATGGATATGGACAGGGATATGCAGACTACAGTGGTAAGAATATTTAACTTAATTTCATAAGCCAATGATATTAAAATTCAGTGTTGTGCAATCCCATTCTGAAATACTTGTATGTGTGGGGTTTTTCCATGTATTGAGTTGCTTGGAGTTAAGCTTTTGAAGTATGTTATAGTCATAGGGCGATTATACTAATATGGAGAGAGTATGATGGTTATAAATGTACTGGGATGTATCGTTTATGACTAACAATGGCTGCTAAAATATCCTAATTTAATATTTAGCATGCAAAGATTTGTGTGTTTTGATATTTGTAAAGAAACTATTTCATACAAAACTATGTTAATAAATTTTTTTCTTTTTTTTTATCTTTTCAAAATAGGCCAACAGAGCACTTACGGCAAGGCATCTCGAGGGGGTGGCAATCACCAAAACAATTACCAGCCATACTAAAGGAGGACATTGGAGAAAACAGGTGTGTGTAAAAGTACAAGACAGCAGTAGAAATGTCTTAATTTAATTTAAAGATCAATAGACAAATGGAAAATAAGTAAAAACAAAATAATGTGTAGCCTGTTTTTACTAAATTGTTGATTTTTTTTAAAATTGCTTTTATAAGCCTGTTTTGCCTAAAGTGTCTATAGATCTTTAACTTTAAAGTCTTATCTCATCTTCTTTAGTAATACAGAAAAACGTAGGAGTTTTTCTGTTTGCTTTGTGTGCCAGGTGGTCTAGAGGAATAATTAAACTTTTTTAGAACTATTAACAGGTAAAGTACTGAAATGGGTACAACTTAAGGAAAACAAGAATGTTGTCTTCTAACTCTGACATTATACCTTGTTTGTACCCGCCAGCGGGAACTTCATTGCAGGCCGTGTGTCACCCTGACCACGTCTATCTCTGGGGGTCGCACGTTGCGGGCAGAGCGCAAGGCATACACCAGAAAACGCTGTCCTGTGGTATGGTCTCTTCCAACTTCATGTACCAGCGTAAAGATTAAAGTGGAAAACTTCAGACTTTGGCTTCTTTTTTAATCTTTTTGGAGATTAAGTGTCTAAACTTAACTTAAATGGTTTTTTACAGGAGTTAAAGTACATAAATGCCTTTTTACAGCTTAATCATTTTGGTCTTCTGTTTAGTGTTGTATTTCAATTGTGGAGCCTCATTTTAAGTGTTCATTCTTTAAGATTTAATGCTTGCTTTTTCTTTTTATAGCTAATAGTGAAATCTACAAACCAAAACAAGAACTTTTAAATCTGGGATATAAATTAAAGATCATATGCAGAAATCAATTTATGTTTACATAATACAATGAACCAAGCCTATTAGAAATTTGTGGTGGCATTTTACTTGGCTTACTAGAGATGCTTCTAGTAGACCTTAAGTTACTAGCACAGTTCAACTTATGAATATGGGAAGATTGTATTCCCCGATTCTTTACTGCCTAGATTTGAATTTAATATTTCAGAACTCCAGGGTGAGTTTCTTAATTACCCAAACTGTATTTTGCCAATAAATATGCATGTGATCTTTAATTGAAGAAAAGAATAAAGTGAGATCTTAAAGCAATTCATGAAAGTGGACCTTAGAAAGCTTGTCCAAGTTTCACAAATCTAATTGCTATTTTGTTTTTGTTTTTAGGAAGGGATGCTAACGTAACCCATCTTGCAGGACGACTTTGAAGATTGGTCTTCTGTTGATCTAAGATGATTATTTTGTAAAAGACTTTCTAGTGTACAAGACACAACTGTGTCCAACTGTATATAGCTGCCAATTAGTTTTCTTTGTTTTTACTTTGTCCTTTGCTATCTGTGTTACGACTCAATGTGGATTTGTTTATATACATTTTATTTGTATGATTTCATGTTAAACCTCAAATAAATGCTTCCTTATGTGATTGTTTTTCTGCGTCAGGTACTACATAGCTCTGTAAAAATGTACTATTTTAAATCAGCAATAATTAAGGAGGCACAGTTTGTTTTGAAGGGAGTATTGATCCCAAGGGAGACATTGTGGTCCTTTACAAGTAGCCAGCCACTTCGTCACCCTACTCCCCAATTGGTAGGTGTATTTTGTGCTTTAAGGCTGCTTCTCCCTGTTAACTGGTGTTTCCATCACACCTTTGAATAGCATTCTTTCCCCGGTGGATATCTGAAGACACTGTCATGAGACTGTCATAGTATTGTGATTAATGGAAGCTTTCTAGTAGACCATGTGTCTTCTGGACTGTATTTTTAAGAAAAGTACCCTTTGAAACACAAAGATAGTAGCTCCTTTTACTTTGTTCCCGTCTCTGGAAAGCCATTTTTAGTTGCTAATTATTTTGGCTTTAGAGTTAAATCAGTGGTCTGCTAGAAAAAGCTTCAGCTAATATAGCGCCATGACTATAATTCTGATAAAAAAATGCAGATATCCAGAGGACAAAGTTCTGTCAAACTGTAGGAGCTACAGTTAAGAGCGTTGGAAGTAGTTAAAATACAAGGCTTTGGCAGATAGGTAGGTATGAGATTATCCACTGAAGTTAGACTAAAGTTTGAAGTAGAGGCAGAATAGCTGATTTAGTTGTATTCTGTTGGTATGTCAGCCACCACAACACTGAAAGTATTTTCCATTTGGGCATTCTTAGGAAAAGTTTGTATTGCAGTTAACTGTTATGCTGTGTAAGTTAGAAAAAGTCATGATAGTAAATCTCATTTTTAATGCAGTTAGTGCACGAGCAGAGTAGTTAAGTATTCCCATATTCAGACATAGGAAGGAATAGTGGACAAGGTATCTTAAGGCTTAGGTGTGTGAATGTTGATCCAAGTGTGACTGAGTCATCATAGCGGATCTTCTGGTGCGTTGAAAAACATCTAGGCTCTAGAAAGACCTGGGTAAATAAAAGCTTTGAATTTTGCCTTCAGTGTCGTTACTTGGATTCAGGGAAGCTTGTTTCCCTGTTAGCTGCTGGGATTGGCATGCACGTTCACATGCAGAGTAGCTCGTCTCAACCAGTGTGGACTTTTCTTTTTTAATTTGGTGCCTATAATTCACGTTGTTCCACTGATGTTTGTACTTGCTGGGCTGTGAAGTTAATGCTCTCGGACACCCAGGCCAAGGACCAGTGTTGGCTATTGCAGGGGGCTGTGTTTACTTTCTGAATCACACACTATGGCTTTACGGAATGGAAAGGGAGTTCATTTTAAGTTGTTTTGTCAGTAGGTGCAGTGTCTAGGGTAGCGAATCCTGTAAATTCAAATTTATGATTAGGTGACAAGTTGACATGGAGATTGTCCTTTTCCCTGATCAAATATGAATAAAGACTTTTTAAACAAAATCCACTCTTCAATCAAGTCTTGATATGTATGACTTTGAGAAAACACACCGTCTAGAGATTATTGTCTTGAGATGTTTTACATAGGATTGTTTTTTCCTCCAGGGGCTTTGGACTCGAGACTTAATTCAGCATTTAGCGTCTGTCAGTTCATTAAGTAATTAAATTTGAAATAGATAATAAGGCTAAGTGCTCTAGGCACTTGTGGTTGGATGAACTGTGAAGCTGGTATCAAGGTCTCATTCCAAAGAATTTAAACAGTAATTTGATGAATTTACTGAAGAAGAGGGAGCAGAAATGGAATTCTGAGATACCTATGACTTAAAAACAAAACCTAGCTCTTATACCTTGGTAAATATTGCTACCTGAATTGGTTTCACCAGGTTATGTGTGGTACGCACCCTAACACCCTTAGCAGTTTCATTGGTTGACATGTTAATGTTCGATAGTCTCAGCCACTTTAATGTTAGGACTATTAAAAATGGAAGTGCCTGTTGGCATGCCAACATGGATAAGCAGAGCCTCATTCCATTACTCTTCAATGAGTCTTACTTTTTTAATGGCAAGGATCCTCTGCTAATCTTCATAAAATTTAGTACAAGGGCATCTCTGAACGATTGAATCAACTGCCTTATTACCAAGATTGGATGTCCACGGCAGTATGGTGCCAATCTTACCAATTTTAAAGGTGATTCAAGAGCATCTTAAGTATGAACAATAGTTATAGATGTGTGAATATATGTATATAAGCCATTTTGATTGGTTCTACTTTTCAGCAAAGTTAGGAAACGTAATTATGTAAAAAAAAAAAAAGAAAAAAACAGCATTGTCTAATATACTGTGGTCTCAAGTGTTTGAGCAAAAGCAATGCAACTTCTATGTTATCTTTTTCATAAAGTCGTTAGAAAATGTATTGCCATAAAAATATGGACTGTTCTTTTAGGACTGGTTGGGGTTTTATAAACTAGGGAAAGGATACAGTGATGTTATGAGATTACAGGGTAATGCTGAACATTCTGGAGATTTGTGCTGCTTTTATCAGTACGAATTCCGGAAGATCTAGCACAATCTTGGAGGACAGGGAAACTGAAGTGTATTTTGAAAAATTGTCAACCTGGTTACTTAAAATTCAGAAATTTCAAGTAAAAAATGCCTAAGATCAAAGACCAGCACAAGTTAAAAATGTGAGAAAACTGCAGACAAGTTTTTCCATACTGTTGCAATGGTTGTCACCTTTTAAGAATCAGACCAAAAATGATTCTTTTCATAGAAAATGCATTATCTGTACATAAATATTTTGAGGTAAATTAGACTTTTGAAAGCCATCTGGTTCAACATCTCTTGAAACCATTGGCATTGGCTGGGCGAGGTGGCTCACGCCTGTAATCCTAGCACTCTGGGTGGCCTAGACAGGCGGATTGCTCGAGGTCAGGAGTTCAAAACCAGCCTGAGCAAGAGTGAGACCCCGTCTCTACTGAAATTAATTGGCCAACTAATATATATATAGAAAAGATTCGCCCGGCATGGTGGCGCATGCCTGTAGTCCCAGCTACTCGGGAGGCTGAGGCAGGAGGATCGCTCGAGGTCAGGAGTTCAAGACCAGCCTGAGCAAGAGCCAGACCCTGTCTCTACTATAAATAGAAAGAAATTAATTGGACAACTAATATATATAGAAAAATTAGCTGGCGTGGTGGCGCATGCCTGTAGTCCCAGCTACTGGGAGCTGAGGCAGGAGGATCGCTGGAGCCCCAGGACTCTGAGGTTGCTGTGAGCGAGGCTGACACCACGGCATTCACTCTAGCCTGGCAACACAGCGAGACTCTGTCTCAAAAAAAAAAAAAATCTTGATGAATCCCCTGATTTCAAGCGGAGAAGTCAGCAGATGGAAAACATTCAACTCTGATTACATTTTGGAGTCTATTAAGTTACTATCAAACTCCTGTGAGCTATCAGGCATAGCTTTGAGACCTGGATTTCCAACAAAGCATTTGTCACTCCTGGGAGTGACCTTTGGCCGCTAAGATTGATCGGCAATCTTTAATACACTTGGTTTACGGGGGCTGAGATCTTTTGGGGCACAGTAGGAATGTATTAGAACGGATCCATTCTGTTGGTTCAATGAGCCAGAAATCCTGAGCAAGTGCTCCTGGTAAAAGATCTGTCCTGTGAAATTCACAGTAATTATTTAGATGACTTGAACCGTGAGACATTTAGGCCATGGACATTTTTCATGCACATTTTCTTTTTTTTTTTTTTTTTTTTCCAAGAAACTCCTGGAATTGATATGCACATTTTCTTGCAAGCAGAAAAATGAAAGGAGGGTGTGAGTTGTCGGGACTAAGTGGTATTTTAGGATAGTTTAAAAATATTTCATCACCAAGACATCCTTTAAATAATTCTCCCCATACACAATGTTTTGAATGGCTTTACTTCTCAAATATATTCCTCTTGTTATGTAATGGAATTTGTACTAAAAAGACACATAGCTGTCAGAACTTCCACAGAGTGATAATCCACATCATAGCACCAAGTTGTTAAAATGCCAGCCCAAACCAATATTTTTGTTAGCTTCTGTACATTTTTTGTTTGAAACAGTCTCACTCTGTTGCCCAGGCTAGAGTGAGTGCCATGGCGTCAGCCTCACTCACAGCAACCTCAAACTCCTGGGCTCAAGCGATCCTCCTGCCTCAGCCTCCCCAGTAGCTGGGACGACAGACATGCACCACCATGCCCGGCTAATTTTTTCTATATATATTTTTAGTTGTCCAATTAATTTCTATTTTTAGTAGAGACGGGGTCTCGCTCTTGCTCAGGCTGGTCTCAAACTCCTGACTTTGAGTGATCCTCCCGCCTGGGCCTCCCAGAGAGCTGTGATTACAGGCATGAACACCTCACCTGGCCAAGAAACTCTTTAAATATTTCTCCCTATACACAATGTTTCAATGTTTCAAATGGCTTTACTTGTCAAATATATTCCTCTTGTTATGTAATGGCATTTGTACTAAAAAGACACATAGCTGTCAGAACTTCCACACTGTGGTAAATCCATATGATACCACCAAGTTTTTACAATGCCAGCCAAAACCAATATTGTTGTTAGCTTCTGTACATTTTTTTTTTCAGCATTGAAGATCAGAGAAATATACATTTTTTTAATGATATGGGATCTCTACCAGACTTAAAATACTGAAAGAGTCCAAGAATTTTTATTACAACTGTGTAGAACTTTTTAGAACTGTACTTAACCAAACACATCATTGGAGATAAGGAAAAAGAAAAGGCATTTTTGGAGTAAGCATCATTTTCATAATCTGGAAAATGGTATTTTAAAATACATGCGATATGGATATTATAATTTTTTTAAATTATACATTTGCCCTCAGAAATAAAAAAGACCCCTAAATCATACCTTTGATCTCACTTAATATACACCTATTTTTTAATTTTTTATAATGCATGTATACATAGGTTGTAGGCCTGTCAAAACTAAGTGTAACTCTACTCTGACCTAGGATTTTCTTTATATTAATTAAGATTATTTTAATGGCTATATTAGCGTGATGTTTCAGAATACCAAGATACAGATGTTAGCAAAACGGTGTTTACTTTCCTTCCATTCTCTATCCAAAACAATGGCAAATTGAGACCTCCTATTCCACTTCAAATTCTCTGCTCAGGGTACAATTTTATCTTTTCTTATTTATATATATTTTTTTTAATATCCTGGACCCCAAGAGAGGAGGGTCTTCTCACTGGTGGCAGATACAGAGATCTGCCAACGACTCACAACCACAATCCATAGCATTGCCAGACTAGAGTTTTTAAAGGTATCTGAATCTTTTTTCTTCTGGACATAATTGTGAGCCCTATGAAGAAATGAAATCACTCTTATTTCATCAAATATACCAAAGGGCAATCTTCTCTCTTTTTTCTTTAATAGAAACTATCAAACACAGAGTCTTGACCAGGAAATAGCCAGGCCTTCCTGTTCTCTTGACTGACACCACTTCTGGGAATGTATACAGACTTCAGAATAACTTGATTAAGAACAGTGGTCACAGTTTATTAACTTCATTTGTTTATTCCAAGAAAATGTTAAGATTATTCCAGAAACTGCTCTTAAGCTCATAACCTATTGTTTTTATATTTAGTGTTACACATTGACATTCGCATGCATTAGCCTAGTCCGATATATATAGTGGAAGGGTTTATAAGCAGGTGTATACATACCTACATAAGATCAAAGGTATTTAATTTTTAACCCAACTCTCCTTTTGAAGATGAAGTAGGGCTCATCTCCTGGGCTCAAGCGATCCTCCTGCCTCAGCCTCCCGAGTAGCTGGGACCACACCCAGCTATTTTTAACAATATTCTGTAGAGAGGGGGGGCGGGTTGCTCAAGGTCAGGAGTTCAAAACCAGCCTGAGCGAGACCCCGTCTCTACCATAAAAATAGAAAGAAATTAATTGGCCAACTAATATATATATATATAAAAAAAAATCAGCCGGGCATGGTGGCTTGTGCCTGTAGTCCCAGCTACTCGGGAGGCTGAGGCAGGAGGATCGCTTGAGCCCAGGAGTCTGAGGTTGCTGTGAGCGAGGCTGACGCCACGGTATTCACTCTAGCCTGGGCGACAGAGTGAGACTCTATCATTCATTCATTCATTCATTCATTCATTCATTTATTCGTAAATAAATACATACGTACCTACATAAGTACATAAATAAATAAATAAAATAAGGGACCAGAGGTGTGTTCTCTCTCCCCTTCCTGTTCCCTGTCGTTTTCTACCATGCAAGGTAGAGCAAAAGGCCAGCTGTCTGCAAGCCTCACCTCACCATGCTCCAGGGCCTGAGCTCAGACTTCCAGACCCAGAATGCAAGGAATAAATTTGTGTTGAAAGCAGCCAGTTCTGTACTGCTTTGGCACACACACGCCAATCTGCACAGAATGTGGCAGTGTGTTATGACAGCCAGCTGGCTAAGATAGCACCTTTTTT